GCACAAATTGCCATTCCATTTGGAGAGACTTTTGGCAGGCAGTATAAGCCGACTGGGGGTAGAACTGAGCCACTTCACAAAGAGATTGAATGCAGGCCGTCCAAGTTGTGATTTTGGAATAAATCCAGGAGGAAAGGGCTTCAGGTTCGCCGATATAACCACCGAGAAATCGGGCACCATTGGTGACTTTGAGTTGAGAGCCACGGGTACGCGTAAACTGAGTGGTGGCTGTGTGAAAATTGGCACTGTGAGTAATAATTTTGCATTTATTGCGCTGAACAAAGTAGCCGAATGGTTTGCCAAGCCGAATAAGACGGTCTAGAAGCAATTGTAAATCAGTAAATTTGCCGGCAGCATTGGCATCATCGGCATATCAGAGATGCAGAAGGTGAGGGAACTCATGGTGAAGCCGTTTAATGAGAGGAACTAAGGCTAAACCGTAGCAGTACATGGCTAAAGGATCACCTTGCACGACTCCAACAGCGCTGAGGATAATGTGAGCTGTTCCAGCGGTGGAGTCGTGAAAAATAACAAGGGACCAATGTTTGTAACTGTTGAAGCCAAAGATGGCGAACTGTATAAAGCATGGCAGTTCGATTCAATTCGTTGAAGGCGTTAGAAGCATCTATAATAAGGAAGCCAAAATCAGAGTCGAGACTGTCAGATGAGCCAAGGTGATGATCCCAAACATGATTTGCCGTGTGGACGGCACCTTCAATGCCTGCTTTCAAACCAACGGAAAGCTGAGAAGTGCCAGCTGCTGCAGCCGCGGCGGGGCCAGCGACAGCGAGGACACATTTGGCAATGTAGCGTCGTTCAATGTTACCAATGCCGATGGGGCATACACCGGGAAATTTATCGAGAGTACATACATGGACTGTAGTAGGCAGACCAGTCACGGCAACAACAGCACCCTAGCACCCAGACCCCAGACGACCACGCAACATGCTTCAACCCAACTTTTACACCGGGGTCTATGAGAGGAGTGTAGTCAGAACCACCTGATACTGCAAATGCCAACAGAACAAACACCACCAGGACCGATCCCAGTGTCCGATACAAGCAAGCCATGATGAACAAAACTCTGGCAACAGAAGCAGCAACACAGGATCCAATGGAGGAGGGTCGATTCCTGTCTGAGGGAGTTCGGTAGCTGGTCTGGTGCTCATGATCATCCCCCTCTCGCTGGGTTTCTTTCTTTTGGCTTGGGTCCTTTGGAATCGGGAAAAGCCTGTCATCAAGATGGTGCAGCCAGTTTTTCTTCTTCTTGTCTGTGTGGGGTCAATCATTTCCACGTTGGTTATCATTCCATTGGGCGCCAGTCCTCAAAACACCATCAACATTGATGCAGCATGTATGGCCAGGCCTTGGCTTCAATACCTTGGATACACAATTACAATGTCAGCCTTGTTTTCCAAGCTCATGAGAGTCAATGAGATTTTTCACGCCCAAGGCTTTCAGCGGAAAGTTGTTACTGTCAAAGATGTCCTGATGCCATTTGCCATACTCTTTGCATTGAACGTTACATTATTGGCAACTGTTTCTGCTGTGGATCCTCTGGTCTGGGTTTATCATGATGACAACATCAGTGGATGTTACCCTGGGACTTCATTGGGTTATGTGTTGTATGTCTTGCTGGGCTTGTTGAATTTGATTGCTCTATTCATTCTTTGCGTCCAGGCATACCGTGCCCGCGATATTGACAGTGAATTCAGTGAGGCAAGAGGAGTTGCATTTGCCTTGTGCACATGGTTTTGTGTCATTCCTCATTGTTATACCCACAGAGCAATTCTTGGGTTGCAAAGATTGCAGTGATGCACTTCACATGCTCAGGCTTATGTAGAGTGATCTGGGCATTAAGACCGACCATTCTGCGGAATATTCTCTTCAGAGCTGAATATCGAATTAGCTGTGTTAAGTAGGGGAATCAGTAGAGCACATGTTGCTGAGTAAGCCAAAAAATTCTCATCTTCATAGTGTACTGATTGGTGGAGTTAGTAGCGGTTGAAGATAATGACCTGCTGACGGGCAATTCTTTTTCTCTGCAGATTAAGACCATATGACGTCACACGTAGACTCTAGTACTGAGTCTACGTAGGATCCTACTGTACCGGTACCGGTTCTATCGAGTGCAAACTACAGGCCCTGATGAGTGTCTCCAAGCACATGCATAAGCACATGATACGCACTCTATCAACACTCCTTCTTCGTACCTCTACGGTGCGGTGGTTCGAAGCACCTCTACTGGTACTGTATCGTTCGAAGCACCTCTACTGGTATCGTTCGAAGCACCTCTACTGGTATCGTTCGAAGCACCTCTGCCTACCGGTACCTCTATCGACACTCCTTCCTTCCTCTGTCGACACTGCTTCCTCTACCGGTACCGAATCGACACTGCTTCTGCAGGCAGTGGCTCGTCAATAGTGGATTACTGAGGCTATCCTCTAGTCAGTAGTAGAGGCTAGCCGATACGACCGTACGGTACATGTAGTAGCTGGATAGGTTGTATGTAGCTGTTACTATAGCAATTACTGTACAAATCCCGCAATATCACGATGGTCTTAATCTGTAGTGGGTCTTAAAGTGCAGATCACTCTATATTTTTGTTGTGAGCTCTGGCACGTTGCTCTTCATCTTTGCCCCCATTATTGCGCATCATCGGCAACGACAGCAGGAAAGGGCCAGCACTACCCATTCTCGAACTCGAATTTCAGGCATTGACACACAACACCAAGCTCCATCGATTGGGATTTTCTTGGACGAGGAGCGTGCCAATGGAGCACAAACAGATTATGCCCAGCGCGTGGCGGAGATGGAACTCGAGTTGAAAGTTCTCCGTTCTCGCTTGATCGAAACTGAAGATATGCAATCAGCAGAAGAATCAGGGAAACGCGAGTCGATTCATAGTGATTGAAGCAGCATCTTGGATACTTTAACTGTTGACCTGATGGAAACGTCGCATCTTTCTCTACGCCCCACGCAAACCACTATCAGGCAACAACCATTCCTACGAGCGTCGACGCACTTGTTTCGGTGTCCGATGCATCCAAACGGTAAAAATCCTGCAGACCATGTCAAGTGCTGACCAACAGAGATATCAGAGAGTGACTGAGCAAAAACGAATTCGCGTATGTACAGCTACACTGGTAGATGATCGATCTGCCAGGCTTCTTCACTACTGTGGGTGCGACCTCGTGAGCCAATCCGGTGAAGACATGACTCTAAAGTAGAATTCATTCTGATTTATCGGCATCGGGTGACAAAACTGTGCTCATGTCATGGCATGGCATCGCATCGCATCGCATCGCCAGCTTCGCCAACAAGCAAGGGGCGGACTCCGCGAATGAGGACAATGCAACGACCTATTTCCATTCGAGAACTTTGGGGCTGCCACCCATGCCCTCAGCATATCAATTTTTATCAGCCATCACTGGCTAGGCTGAGTTGGATTTGTGGGGTTTGACACCTCCATTACGGGAGCCCGAAAGGCGTTCTCTCCCGCACCAATTCGGAATCCGACATACCGGTGGGAGGGCGAAACTCGTCGCGGGTTCTTTCGGAGGGATGCCTTGCATCGGGTCATTTCTCTCTGTTTCTTCTGCAAGGCCTCTTCGGCGGACCGAGTTTGTTCGTGAGCCTTATCCAATTCTTTCTGTGCCTTCTGTAACGAAGCAAACGTGAATTCCAAGATAAAGGCAGAGCCTCGATTATCCAACAGCTCCCGTGTGACACTCTCGAACAGAGCTGTCTCCTTCCAAGTTTCTGCCAAGGCCTTGGCACATCTTGACTGAAACGACGCCGATGCCAGAACACAGTTCTTGTCTTTTCCAGATGCTGGGGCGTTGACGTCATTCTGCTTGGCGGGAAAGGTAGGTTTGTTTTCAAGTTCGGCCAAAGCCAAAGCAACGCTTGGATGTATGCGAGGTATTGTGCCTTCATTGGTGAGCTCGGCGATTGTAGCCTGATCTATCCAATGGTATCGCTTTAGTCGACAAAGGAGCTTGCTCTTATGCTCGGATTCTTCCCGTGTCGCCATCGCGCCTTTTGACTGAAAGGCGACTACCCACGTCTTTGGGTCAATTTCTCTGAGCAAATGAGAATCCATGCCCACATCCAGAATGCGCTGGCCGAGTTGCGAGGCCACGGAATGTAAGAGCAACTCGTCTCCGAAGGCTTTCGCCTGACGGTAGAACTCGCCCAGATTGCTCTGGGATACATTTTGGTTCATGAATGCTAAGCAGTCGCGGCAAAGATCTTGGATTTCAAACAAGACTCCGAGGTAGTGCAAGGCGGCCGCAGATTCGCAATTGGTTTCCAGAGGGCCGTCTTTGCAATATATATAGTCGAGGGCGAGTGGAAACGCTTCGGCCACAGGTAGAGGCAATGTGTGCCGGGAATTTTCGTGTTCTCCTGCCTTCCGAAAGTGGCGAGCAAGAAGCTTGCTCCTCCGTTTTCCACAGGCCAGCACAACCTTGTGAACCCTGTAGGTCGCAGCCGCTGCGAGTTCCGGTGTTTCGCCTGCTGTCTGGACATCCGATGGGCCTTGAAGGAGCAACTTGGCTTTGCCACTGTCAATGCAGGCGACAAATACGTTGATAGTCCAATCGCTAAACGTCTCTTTGGGGTCACTGCGCCATGTAAGCGCCCCATCGTCTGCCTCCGATGAAGAGGTTTGAGTTGTCTTTTGTTTCATTTGTGTTTCGATCGATACTTCGACAAGCTGGTGTGACTTTGAAGGGGGCCAAAAAATGATTCGTCGAAGAGAGCTTGTCTGGGAATACCTTTCACAGAAACGTGGGCGACCAAGACGGCGGGAAACGGTCGCCAAAGTCGCAACACGCCGTAACGTCCTTTCGGATCATGTCAAGCAAAGAAAACGCTGTCGTTGGTGTGGTTTCAACCATGCTGCAAGTTGGTGGGGTGCGTCTTTGAAACACCACGTGTCAAATCGTTTGAGGCTCTCGAGGGTTTCAATTATTGCAAGCAGGCTATTAGCTGCACTACTATTTGGCACAACCGGTGCGGACCGGTGCAGCAGCCAGAAGACCAACGACTACACGACGTACCCGTACTGTACCGCACTGGTTACATGTCCGGCTCCAGTTGCTTTTACGGGCAGAAGGGCTGATTGGGATGCCTAAGCAACATTGCATATATATATATGTCCCTACCGTACCGGTACAATTCAAGAAGTTCAAGCAAAGCTCATGTTGCCAGAGCTCTGTCGATTGATACTTGGGAAATTGCTATTTCGGATTCGGGAACAACTGTCTTTACCCAGCCCAGGAATGGAATTGCACCACCTCGGAAGAGGACTTCACCCATTGAGCAACCATAATGTAATGCCCTCTAGCTACTAGGCCCACAAAACTCCTTCATCATCTTTGCCATTTGCTGAGGGTGTGCCGTTTGCTGCAGGCGTAGCGCTTGCTGCAGGCGTAGCACTTGCTACCGGCGTGGCTGCCAGCACACCAGGATCACCATCCCCGGCAACTCTGACAGCCATTTGTAACTTTGGATTGGTGTGCTTGGTGGTGGTACCAAGTTTGATGTGCAGCTCGTGAGTGATTTTGATGATTTCTCCCGCATAAGTGTTGCGAGCATTCTGCGGGACAGCAGGAAGGGTATAGACGGGATGGTCGTCATCATCGAGCGATTGGGAGATGACTGAATTGTTGCTTTGCTCTCGGTAGGCATCCTGCAATCGTCCCTTGAGTGTTTCCTTGCTGAGCTTCTGGAATTGGGCCGGGAATGTCGCCGAGCACAAGGTTCTGGTGCTGGTTCTGACTTGACCTTGGGCTTTGAACCAGAGAGTTTCTTCCAGATGAATTTGAATTCTCTCCAGATCTGCAGAACTGTCATTGACCAGGGCAACCTTGACTTGAGGAGGCTGCCCTCGAAATAGCTGTGCATCCACTACTTTGGCTCCAAATGACATGGCGCCACCCGAGAAGACTTTCCAACGGAGAATGTTTTGCGTCATGATCTTGTCTTGCGAGGGTATTGTGGCTTGCAACTCGGGGGCACCCGTTACATGGATTGGAGCGTCGGTTTCGTAATCACTAAACCTTCCAGATCCAACCAATTTGGCGTAACATCGATACTGGACAATGGCGTGATAATGCAAGTCACCATGACCTCCTTTTGCCGCTTCAAAGGAACTGGGGGCACGAGCGGGGATGGAGATTCGAAGGGGAATTTGATACTCTCCCGGTACCAACTTGTCATTTTGAATGATCTTGGTCGAGACACTTATTGGCAAGGAGAAGTTAATTCTGAGAAAATGATGGCCACCATAGGCCGATCGTTTCGTTGGTTCAAAATCGTGACTAATACTGCCCTTGCTTTTGTGCTTTTGCATGTAATCGACCTGCGTCGCCTCTTCGCCGACAAAGTACAACTCCAGACTTTTGGTGGGGATGGCTTTCTTGACGGTCAACAAGAGCTTTGCGGAGACTTCATCCCCTGCCTTGGCTTTGGCTTCACCACCCAATTCGAAGGAAAAAAGACCAATATTGTTATCCTTCCATGTGAGGTCCAATGTAAAGTTTTTGAAAGGTTTCCATTTGTCCATCTTGGTCTGGCTGCGCAGGTGTCATGACCAAGCAAGAGACGAAGTGGGTCTCTTCGGGGGTGGAAGATCTGTTCAGACACAACAACAGGCACTCAAATCACAAAGTCACAGTTGGACATTCAATCTTGCCTTTTGGTGGAGAGGGTTCCTCCATGGAAGTGAACACTGAACTACATGTACTATTTTAAATAGTAGTTCTACGCAGCAGGCTGAGTAGAACAAGATCGAACGGTGGAACGTAAAAGAAGGCTACTCCGCCGATAAAGTTGAGAATTTTGAAAAAGGTGATAACTCCTCAGAATGAGCAGTCAGGATTTTTGAATGGTTTGGGTTAGGGTGAAAGGAAAATTCTCAACTTGATCTTCAGATTTGTGTAGAAGCTGGTAGGTTTGAGAATTCTCAACTTGATCGGCGGAGTAGAAGGGAATGGTGAAAGGAAAGAAGGAAGATGGTACTCAGTACTAGTAGTGGTATTCTAGTTGGTTTAAAAGGGTTAGAGCTGGAATGGAAAGACATAGTGACAATATTAAAACGTTATTCTTAAAACTTTATAAAAGCCCACCACCCGCTTTTGCCCCCACCAGGACATCTGGAATGGAAGGTACGCACTGACTATGGGCTAATGCAATACACGGCTCTTAGCCTTATTCGCGACTCGATCCTAGATAGGGTTTGAGTTCGACTCATGACTGAGTCTCTCGTGAATAGTCATTGAGACAGGGTTCTCAATGACCGCTCTAGTCATACTAGGTTGATGATGAAACATCGCTCTAGATATTTAGCCAGCGTGGAGTACTTCCACGCTACTAGATATGCTAGACGAATCTTCCACGCGTTCCGTTTTTGGATCGTGGAGTGAGTAGGATTGCTACCGCAACCTACTCTATCACACTCTACAGTCTCCCGCGGGAGTTCAGATCTACGATCTTTGATTGTGGATCTCTCTCGTTGATTAGTTTTCATAGCTTTCTAATCCTCTCATAACTTTCATTCTCTCAACTCAAAACACTCGAAAATCTTACACTAGCTTTTAGCGGTAGTGCATTTTGTTAAAAAACACAATAGCTTTCAGCTACCCTCAAACTATTCCTCACCATGAAGATGGCTCAAAATAGACTTATAGGCAGATGTGCCAGAGTCGAAACAGTTGAATATGTAGAGAGCAAGAACTGCCTCTGGCTTTTCAACCAAGTGCTTCGGCCCAGTCGATGAGTACTTGGGGAGAGTTGCGAGCGGGACAGACTACGAAGATATTAGACTTGCGTTCCCGTACGCTAATTCTATTATACCTAGGGCTCCACCTACCCACGACGGGTCCATACAACGACTCTTAAGAAAGGACGGGTTGAAGACTTCCTCTGCGAGACGCAGGACGTACTCCAAAAGGTGAAACTCGTTCCCTGAGTGGTTCACGGCTACCAACTTTTTTCATTCCAAAAAGAGGATCTGTATGATTTATCTCTGATTTCGGGAACATGAACAAAAAGATAAGCGGTAAGCTTATCCTATCCCAAAAAATACAGGACATGCTTTGAACCTAAGTTGGATTCAAGTGCGTACTTGTCTAGACCTGAACACGGGACACTACCACATCGAGCTGTCACCTCACTCGAAACAACTCTGTACCATAGCACTCCCGAGGGAAAGCACGAGTACCAGAGGTTGCCATGGGCCTATGTAATAGTCCCGAATCTTCCAAAAGAAGGATGAAAACACTGCATGCTACTTAGAAATGTCCGTGCATACATTGATGATCAACCTCAATCACATAACTGGACGTCGATCCTGCGGATCGGCGTTGAATAGTTAGGATGACCTTTTCCAAGGACTTCAAGAAGTCGGGATTGAAATCACACTACCAGCCTTCCTCGAAAGGAAGAACTGGAGTATCTCAGACATTGGACTACTCCGAGAGGAATCCAACCCTTAACTAAAAAGATTATAGATGGTGATCCAGCTATCGCTCTTCCTACTAACAGGAAGGAACTTCGTAGATTAATTGGACCAACGAACTACCAAGGGCTGCTCCAAGCAGCAGTTGGAGTAACCACCTTCTGAAACAGACGTGGGTTTCCCAGTATCCATGACCGGCGAGGTTGTAGGGAAGTGAACGTGAGTCCCGCGCAGAGGTCGAGAAGACTCTCCGGGATGAATTGGACTTCGTCGCAAGTTCACGCGCGTCAATCGTGACAAGACTCACCACATCCGTTTCAAAGCAAACCGGAAATACCATAAGGAACGTCGCAACGACTTATCCAGGAAAACACCGATAAGGAGAAAACGACACGTGTCCCTACTCCTATCACCATGTCAACGATACTATGTGTCATCGATTCAAATACTCGTTAGTACGGTCACCAACGCACAAGGTCCTTACCACACCAGACCGAGTCAATAACAATGGCACTGTACGGCTCCGACTACTACCTGCCCCAGTAGCGGCACAGTCTTCCAGACTTGGAACATAAGGTATTTACACCCATACAAGGCCTGATCCCCTTTTAGGATTGTCTTCGTGCGACGCACTTGTCTACATCCAATCTCCGGAGAGTGCCCCGCACTTATAATCATATGTTCTCTTGTCCGACTGATGTCGTGCCTTCCGTGACCCTTGTCAGGGGCGAATGCAATACACGGCTCTTAGCCTTATTCGCGACTCGATCCTAGATAGGGTTTGAGTTCGACTCATGATGAGTCTCTCTGAATAGTCATTGAGACAGGGTTCTCATGACCGCTCTAGTCATACTAGGTTGATGATGAAACACATCGCTTTAGATATTTAGCCAGGTGGAGTACTTCCACGCTACTAGATAAATGCTAGACGAATCTTCCACGCGTTCCGTTTTTGGATCGTGGAGTGAGTAGGATTACTACCGCAACCTACTCTATCACACTCTACAGTCTCCCGCGGATTTCGATCTACGATCCTTTGATTGTGGATCTCTCTCGTTGATTAGTTTTTCATAGCTTTCTAATCCTCTCATAACTTTCATTTCTCTCAAATCAAAACACTCGAAAGATCTTTACAACAGCTTTTCGTAATGCAACAGCTAGATTCGTAACTGCTTTGGCAGAGCTAGAAGTCATCTCCTGAGGAGGTTATGTTTGTCCGTAGGCGTAGCAATGGCGAGCCCGACGAAAACCTTCTCCATACGTCCAGCCCTTTGATGGTTTGACGTGGAGTCTCAGATCCATTGATGATTTGGACCTTGAAGGTTTACTTGCGCTGTTTAGCATCTGCTGGAACAGTGCGAAGTTTGTAGGTGGTAGAGGCGAGAATCGTCGATTTCCCATTCATCGTCGAGGTCGATGAGAGGAAGGATTGGTTTGTCGCGCCAGCTTAGACTCGAAGCTGGTGTATGCGTCTTTGGCA